TATTCAAATTCAAAAGTTTTACTATTCAAATTTCAACTCAAAATCCCAACCCCAAACAAACACACCCATGATACACAAAAAAGTTGTTATTATATTTATATAAAGTGTTTGTAAGTGTTTAAAGATAAGGGTAGTTTAGATAATATGCTACGGATGATTAAATAATACCAGGGGTTAGATTGTATTGATAATCTTAAAAATTAGTATAGTTGTAACTGAGTTTTTAATTATACATTGATCTAATACATTAAAGTAAATATAATATTAAATCGGATTAAATAATATAATCCACCCCAATTTCATAAAGTAAACGCACCCTAAAAGTATAGCAACTTCGAATGTATTTTGTCTTCATATCTCACTCTTCTCTATCATGCCGGTCTCTCGTGCAAACATACCAAGGCACATCACTTTCCAAATTGGATCGAAGACACAGGTATATATAAAATTCGAGGTGTTTGTACGAGAGATTCACAATTATGTAAGTGAGTTTTACGCAATAAATAAACATATGGAGTTTCACGCAATAAATAAAATATGAAACATTTTTATATATTTTTATAAAAATACAAGAGGTGTTATATAATTAACTCAACTATGGGTAAATGAGCCATTTCAAAGGTTCACTATGTTTTGAGACACAAGTATATATAAAAATATTATAAATATATGAATAATATTAGAATATTTATGTTAAATTTTGTTTGATTGTATTTAAATTTAAATTTTTAAAATAAATGTTGGAATAGATATATTTTGATATAATATTTTATTAAAAAAAATAGTATATTTTTATTTGTGGTAAAACCAAACAAATCCAATAAATATTTTAAAATAATTATAAAAACTTTGTATTTATATATAATTATTAAATAAATATTTTTTTTTTCTTCTTTAAATGTGTATTCTTATAATCATCTTTTGATATCGTAAATTTGAACTCATGACATCACTGTGACGAATTCATTTCTACATTATTATACCATCTTTTAGGAAAGCTGATTCTGATAAGTTGCCGTTAGGATGGATAGGTACAATGATTTTAGGGTTTAGATATTAAGTGTGGGGTGGGTCAGGTTGGGTTGGGTTGGGTTGGGCTGGGTGGGTATGATCCAAATACGGGCACTACAAAAAAATAATTTATTTGTAACGGAATTCCGTCCCTAAAGTTCACGTAGCTAACGTAATTCCATTCCTATTTTCGTCTCTGATGTCATTAGTAACGGAAAAAATAAATTTAGAGACAAAAAAGTTTTGTTACAAAAATGAATTTTTCTTGTAGTGGGGTTTGTTTGTTTTTCTTTTTTTCGAATGGTGTTTTAGGATTTATAATTAATGATATTTATAAAGTGATATTTATGTAAATATATATAATATTGGATCAAAGTTTATATAAATAATATAATTTTTTGCTTAAAAAAAATGGCGTTTTTTATTGTATATAAGGCCATCTCTAATCCATCTTCATTTATCCAGTTTTAACTTTAAATATGTAGTTGATACAGTAATTTTACTTCAACTATAACTCCATTTTTTACTATTATTCTTCAAATATTCAATTTTTTCTATTATTTTAAACAACTTTTTATTTTTATAATTTAAAATAAAATTTTAAAAAATTTTAAAAAATAAAAATTAAATTTATAATTTTAAAAAAAAAAAAAATAGCGTGTAGCAAACTCTAGATTTGATGCTGGAAATGGCGCTGGATTGAAACAACTCGGCGACAAAAATGATGTTGAAACGCCAAATATGAAGCATGATTGAAGACGCTCTAAGTAACAAATGAAGAAAAATTGACTTAATTTGTAAACAATGTTTGGTTCACCCGTTGCATTGCTGATGTGTCACTTTCATAGCCATCCAATCTAAACTAACTTAGTTAAGCACACTAGCAAATACCATAGTTATAAGTTTTGTCGTATAAGTTGATGATATTATATTTTAATACAATATGGGTGTATTTCCTTTGGATGATTAGTGCGAAATAATATTATTTTATCCATCATAATCATATATTTACTATAATATATTAAAGTTTGATATTGATTAAAGTCCGCTACACTAATATACTTTATTCGTCTCAAAATATCAGTCTCATTTTATCATTTTCGTTCGTCTAAAAACAATAGTCTTATTTTCATTTTTGTAATTGTCTCCCAATTTTTTTACAAATTTATCCTCACTTTATCATAATAGTTACATAAAGTATAAACATTTCAGTCTTTTATAAACACTTTTACAACCACTATCAATATAATATTATTATTATTTAATTATCATCCTCATCTCAAATGTTTCTATTGTTTTGGGATGGATGAAATATTAATTAAGAATAATTAATCTTAACTAGATGGGTAAAATTAATTTATCCAAATAATATTTATGCTAAGATTAATGTTATCTTATATTTAATCAAATAAAATAAACATCATATCAATTAGTCTCCTGATTTATCTCATAGACATAATATAGGTATTAGACCAACACTCCATTCCACTTTTGCAGTTGCTACAGTAAAAATGCAGTTGATTTACAATAATTTTACTCCACCCATAAACTTCAATTTTACTCTAAAAAGTATATTTTCTGTATATTCTTCTTTTATATTATTTTATATAACTTTTCATATTTATAAATTACACCTCAACTTTAATTTATTTTTACATTAAATCCATACACATATAATTTATAAATTATTTAAAATTACATATATAAAAATTAACATTTATAATTAATAACTATTACAAATTAAATAATTTTAAATAAATAATTAAATTCTATCAAGACAAAAAAATAAAAATTATTACTTTTCAAACAGTAAAATTATATATCAATTTAAAAAATAAAATTATATATTACTTTCCAAAAACTAAAATTATATCACTTTTAAAAAATAAAATTATACATTATGTTTTAAAAAAAAATAAAATTACATACAACTTTTAAAATATAAAATTATATATCATCTACTAAAAAATTAAAATTATACAATATACCAAAAAAATACCAAAAATATAAAAAATACCAGTAAAGAACACTGTTGATTGCTGCAAAAATGAGGGAGGGGGGATTTGGGGGTGGTTGGAGCCGTTGATTGCTGCAAAAATGAGGGAGGGGGGATTTGGGCGTGGGTTGGAGCCCCTCCCCCCATTTTTGGTACAACCCACCGCATAAATGCAGTGGATTGGAGACGGTCTTATAATATAATCTTATAGATAGAACAGTCCATATGACACATTATTACTTATTTCAATACAAAGGATATATTCATGCGGCATACCTAAAATATAAACTATCATCACATTTTAACAATTCGCATTATATATTGTATTAACTAAAATATGTGCTATCAATCTATTATGTTTTTATGTAATGATTAAGGTTAATTAATATTGATTAATCTTTATTAATGCGGTGCTCTTAACTATTTTTAGAGATGGTAAAACTAGGCACAATTTAATCTTAATTTTGTATGAATATGAATATAATTTTATATATAAATATAATTTTCCCTAATTGCCCTAATTGCCATGCTTACATTTTTCCCTAATGAAAAATATGAATATAATTTTATATATAAATATAATTTTCATGCTTCTTGTTTAATACAGGGATAAGGTACATATTATACTCCTTCCGTTCAATGTATAATGTCGTATTTTTCATTTTCGTTCGTTTTATATATTATATCACTTTTATTTTTTAGAAAAATATTATGTATTTTAATTATATTTAAAATTTTATAATTTATAACTTTTTAATTTTTATTAAATTAATTAGTTATCTTTAACTTTAATCTAGGGTAAACTTATTATTTTAGTCCCGTAAGTTGAGCTTGTCGCAAAGTAGTCCCGTAAGTGAAAAATTTTCGCTGTTTTAGTCCTCCGGCGCCGGAGACGCCCGCGTGGCTCGCCGGAGGTGACGTGTCTGCCAGGTGTCCCGCCAGTTCAGCAACACCTGGCGAATACGTGGATTTTTTTAATTTTTTATTTCATTTTTTTATATATTTTTAAAACTTATTTTTAATTTTATTTGCATTTTTTTATTTTTTTTATTTGGTTCAAATAAAAAAAATTAATAAAATTGAAAAAAATGGAAAAAAATAAAATAAATCCACGTGTCCGCCAGGTGTCGCTGACCTGGCAGGACACCTGGCGGACACATCACCTCCGGCGAGCCACGCAAGCGTCTCCGGCGTCGGAGGACTAAAACAGCGAAAGATTTTTCACTTATGGGACTAGTTTGCGACAAGCTCCACTTACGGGAATAAAATGATAAAGGGTCCATTTACGGAACTAAAAATAAGTTTAACCCTTTAATCTATAATTATTTGTATTATATTGTAATTATTTTTAATTATTTATTAATCATATCATTACTAAATTTAGATGACAACAGCCACAATACTTGGGACAGGGCGAGAGTAATAAATTTTACATAAAAATATTTTATAAATTTATATTAAAATAGAGATTATGAAGATATAATTTTATTTTATTATTTTCCTTTGTTCTCTGTTGGAAGGCAGTGTAACAATTAACACACAACTCTAAGTTGCGAATACTAAATTACTCGTAAGATGAAGATGAACGTAAACAGAGAGAAGAAGATAAGAAGAAGACGACAATAAATTAAGTGTGTTGGCACAATGCAATCGAAGATGATGTCGAAAGTGTAGGAAAAAAAGGTGAAAGTGAAGCAAGAAAGTAAGGAAAAACAAGAAATTAATAATGATGAGTGGGTGATGGAGAATTGCAGTCAGTAGTTGTCGACAGGAAATTATTATCAATTCATTAATTCATTAATTGGGGGATCATGATCATGATCATGATGAAGAAGAAGAAGAAGAAAATGAAGACAGAGATTGAGAGAGAGAGAGAGAGAGAGAGAGAGAGAGAGAGAGAGAGGAGTAAGTGAGAGAGAGTGGCATGGCAGAGCAGGCAGAGAGACTCACTTTTGTCAATTACCAAACATTCTTTCCACCTGCTCTCTCTCTCTCTCTCTCTCTCTCTCTCTCTCTCCAACTGCCATTAGATGATGATATTATTGTGATATTGAAGGAGTTGTATGTTTGTTATAATTATATAATTATTTGGCAAAATTGTTTGTAAGTAATTTGCTTCTTTACATGTGCAACAATGCTGATTTGTTGCTATCAGCAGAATTATAGCCAATAAGATATACAAACAATATCCATCTATCTATCTTCTTCATTCCATATATGATCGAATCACTCAAAATAATTGTCTGTGAAATATGATGATGATCAGAGGAGGAGGAGACACGTTATTTAGGCTCAAGGGAGGAAGACACAGATCTTCATTATCCTCCTTCGATGGCTCTTCTTCTTCCACTGCCAAATTCGTCTTCTCTTTCTCCAACATTCACGCTCTCCAGGTTCCTTCCTTAGAATTTATTTATTATCTTCTTCACTACATGAATGAACGAAGGAATTTTGCAGGTGCCCAAAGGATGGGACAAGCTCGTGCTATCCATGGTCTCCGGAAAGACGACTCTCCGGAAAACCGGCAAGGCACCCGTCAAGAATGGCACTTGTCGATGGCCCGAAACACTCTCCGAATCCGTATGGATGTCCGACGGCGTCGCAGACCTCCACCAACACCTCATCAAGTTCATCATTTTGCCGGTGAGCCCACCCCCAAACTGTTTCATCAATCTTAATTACAGCTCTTAAACAAATCAAGTAGTTCGCCTTAACAAACAACTGCTCATGCATAGTTCAATTAAACTCTTGATAATATATTTATATATTAGTATATTACTATATAATTTACTAATAAATTTTGCTATTATGTATAATAGATTATTAATAAATAGAGTAAATATATTTAATTTATATATATATATATATAATTTAAGCCAATCTTTGACTTTGTGCGAGCCGAACTCGAACTTGAATTCTTAACCAACCGAATCTAACTGAATCTCTATACCAATATTAAGCTCGTTTGGCTCGTTTAACAGCTCCGATCTTAATCAGGATGTCAATTTCAGTTGATCTAACACATCCATCGTAAACAGGGATCTTCGAAACTCAGAGCCCTCGGCGAAGCCACACTCGATCTGGAAAACTTCCTGAGTTCTCAATCCCCGACTCAAGTATCGTTACCGTTGCAAAAATACCACCACAGCACCACCGTTCTACAAGTAAGCCGCCGCCGCCGTGCTCAAGCATTTCAATTCGACGCGCTGTGTTTTCAGTTTACGGAGAAATTTATATGTTCTTCAGGTTGAAGTTACCTGTCTTACACCAAAAGCGGATGTCCGGACATTACAGGAAGCACGTTTCTCAACGTTTGTTTCACGTTCCAGCTTTGACTCGACGACAGACGATTCTGTAGGCAGGCGTAGCCCGTCTTCGCAAAGCGGCAGCAACAATACAGCGACCAGAAGGCAAGACTCGATCGAATCCATCGAAGCTGCATCTTACACCTCTTATTCGGTGAAATCAGTTCGCTCGATCCAGGCATCGGACAAGTATGGCAAAATAGACTTTGGCGAATCATCGGTTACGACTGCTCCATCCTCGGAGACTTTCACTGAAGCCGATGATCCAGCAGTTCTAGAGCTCATCTCTGAAGCAAAAATGTGGGAACAGAACGCGCGTAAGCTATCGCTCGATTTGGAGACTTCGAGGAAGGAACTTTCTGCGTCGCAGGAAGATTGTCGAAAACTAACTCAAGAAGTCCATCGGCTGAAATCCCAGCTGGAAGAATCGCCGCCAAAAGGGAGCATGAGTCAATACTCGGAGATCCGGGGAATGGCGAGCAGCGATATACAGAAAGAGCTCGAGGACGAGGTGAGATTCCAAGTAGAGCAGAACGAGCATATGTCGATACAGCTCAAGAAAACGCAAGAGTCGAACATTGAGCTCATCGCCCTTCTTCGAGAGATGGAGGAAACGTTGGAGAAACAGAAGCTCGAGCTGGAAAGACTTGCAACGGATTCTAAAATCAATTTCCGGAATGAGGAGTCGGATGAAGTTAACGTTGTCGATCAAGTCTCCGATGAGCTTCTGAACCTGCAAGACTTATTGCAAACATCTCGCGGCAGAATTCTGTTTTTAGAAAGCTCGCTCGACGACAAGATCATAGAGATCGAGATCGAGCAAGATACCATGAATCTTGTTCTGAAGAGATGTCTCGACGGATACAGCCGTAGATTAGGTGAGCTCGATGCTGCCTTATCAAGAGCGATTAGCAAAGAAGATTTAAAAGAGTCGAAACACAATGACCATCAAGATCAGAGCAACGAGATCGAACTACTGAGCTTAACAGATTTTTCGGAACTAGAGACAGATTCTCGAGACAACAAACCAGCGATCGATGTACAATGCCCAAGGAATGAGGAACCCGACGACAACTCCATAGCAGGAAACGCCAATTCATACGAGATGGAAATCGATAATAAGGTGCCGAAGTATTGTCAAGAAACCATCGACGGGGATTTTACAATGAGCACCTCTGATTGTTCCAGCCATTCGGTAAGCGACGCTGTTCTTTACAACAGCAGCAGCAGCATGAGCTCCCGTGTTTCAGACAACATCGTTGAAGAAATCGGGACACAGTGGATGAAATATATTAGCGAACTCGAAGAAGAAAACTTATACTTAACGCAGCGGGTGTATGGCTTGGAAGCTCAGCTAAGATACCTGGTCGATGCAAAGGAATCGGGTTCGCTGGAGTTGAAGCATTCAGAGCACGAGATTATGCGCCTCCATGATCAAGTCAGAAGACTGCAAGAAGAAATCAAATCCCAGAAACTTGACGCGAAGCAGAAGGTGCAAGGAGCGGAGAAACGATGGTCCGAAGCTCAGGACGAGTGCGACCGCCTCAGCAAGCTGAATGTGAAGCTGCAGGCCACAACCGAATCCCTTGTCGACGAATGCAGGTTACAGCAAAAGCTCGTCGGGAAGATGAAGGAGCGGAAGCTGAAGTTGGAAGAGCGGTGTCTTTTCTTGGAGGGGGAAGCAAGAAAATATAAAGGCGTTCACTACAACAAATCAGAACACGAACTTCTTGTCAATGTGCTAGAATCGAATCTGAACTTGAACAAGCTCGACTGGGCGAAGAGAATTACCTGCTGAGAATGCAGTTGCAGAGAGTGCCGGAGCTGCAGAATGAAGTTTTGACACTGACGGTGTCGCGTAAAGAAGCAATGTCGGAAGCTCAGGTGCAGAAAGGATCATTCAAATCGTTATCAGAAGAATATGAGAAACTAAAACGGGAGCGAGTTGCTATGGTGGAGAAACTTTCTTACCAGCGCGAAGTGCAGTCGGAAGCAGAGCTTTGCAGGATGAAGAAAAATGCGTTGGAGGAGAAAGTCCTGAGGCTCGAAGGCGATCTGATGGCAAGAGACCAGGTATGTGTCCAGAAAGCTGAGATGAGACACGAGCTTAGTCGAATGCAGATATCAAATAGCCAACTCTTAATGAAAGTGAAGCAGCTCGAAGAGGTAAGAGAGCATTTACAGAGCAAGTTGCAGTTCTGCGAAGACGGGACTAGACAAAGTCATAGGAAATCGAATTCAGAGACTTGGTGTTCTGAGTATTATCGATCACAGACCAGCGACCCCACAAAGGTTCATAACCACAACAAAGTTCAGCGCGAACTTCAGGTCGTATTTTCACCTCCTGTATACATACATATATATATATGCATACATAGTATGTAAAATTTGACTGTTCATCGCCATGAACAGGAGCCAGAGTCAACACAGTTTCAAATAGAGGAAAAGGACTATGAATCGACAGATGGACTTACAATGAATGAGGCTGGCGAAGCTCAGAAGGCCGAGAGCATTTGTGAAGTGCGAGTTCAGGCAATTGTTTCGAAGGAAGCAGAATCCAGAGAAACAAGTGACGATGCAGAAGCCCAACAAAAGATATTGCTGCTTGAGGCAGAGCTTCAAGAAATACAGGATCGGTACCTGCAAATGAGCCTAAAATATGCACAAGCGGAGGCGCGGAGAGAAGGGCTTGTTATGAAGCTGAAAGCTCTGAGCACTTAGAGCTGCTTCAGTCTACAATAGTCGCTACACGATCTTATCGTTAATGTTAACTATTGCAACACTAGTTTCAAAGATTTCAATGTAAGAACCCCACTTCACATATACAACGTAATTTTGAGTCACAATTCGCACAAAATAAGTTAAAAAGGCACTTGGCGAAGAAAATAAGAGCAACAATAGAAAAAAGGGTGCATTCAACGGTTCAACCTTTCTATATTTCCCAGGAAAGAATAGATGTGTTAATTATTTACGAATGAATGAGGAAGAATTAGTGCCAATTGTACAATGCAAGGCAATCCACATGTACCCGGAAAATGGTGTAAGAAGACTAATAGTGCTATCGACAAGACATGGGGAGCTTCGGAGACCATCCGGTCTTTCCGAGCCGTTTATTGTATCCTACATGTGTTTTTACAGTATGGAATAAGCTCTAATCACCTCAACAATGGGTGCCCGGCACAATGGACACTTTCCGCCTCCACGCACCAACTCATTTGCACATTTGGAGCACGTACACATGTGTCCACATCTACCGAAAGAGAGAAAACAAAGATTCAACTACGAAAGAGACACAAGAATAAAAATACCATCTAGACTCACGTCGTTAGAAACAATACCTGTACAATAGGGAATCGATGTGATTGTCGCAGCAAACACAGCAGGTTCCCTTTCTAACGTGACCCCATTTCGATCCATCCTCAGATGTCTCAGCAATTCCTGCTTGCACAGGCACACATAAATCAATTCAAGTATGCTTAAAAAGGGAAAATGGCTAGCAACAATATTGCAAACAGACCTCGTTCGCCGGCTGAACGATTAAGTGCTGCTGAAACTTCCTGTCGAACTGACCGCTGGAGCTCCAATTGCATATCCATACAAGCTTCTAACATCCTTTGCATGTGATTCATACATTGCTGAAGTTTTGCGACATCGGCTCTAAGATCATTAACCATCTCCCACTCCTGCTACATATTGGCAAAAATTATTAAGTTACGAATAAACTGTGTGAAAATTCTCTGGCATATCGTCGCATAAATGCATATATGAACAAAACTAAACAGTTATTGTACATGTTGAACAGAAGTGAATGATCAATTTAATCTCAGCATTGGATTTCAAATGTGAGATTGTTGATCTGAATCATGAAAAAAATTAACTTACAAGTTCTGAGCGATGGACGTTGGGACGAGGCCATCCAGAGTGGTGCAAATCCTGATGCCAGAGGGGTTGTGGCGGAGGCACCGGAGGTGCAGGTAGCACAAGCGAAGGCCCACCGGTAGCATTGCGCTGATCCTCATTCTGCTGTTCATTTTGCTGGTCCTGATCCATTTCAGACGACGGTGGAAGTGGCAAGTTCCTGTGGAGATCCCAATCCATAGGAGCCCTCCCTCGCCTGTCGACATATGATTGAATCAATTGATCTAGGCTCTCACGGAAACCACTGCGAAGAAGATTAGATACACTCCTCCTGGGATACAAAAAATAATAATAATAAATTAGACAGAAACAGATGAGCAAGGCAAACCCAAAAGGAAGGGAACAGTAACCTGCTCACTAGCTCCCTGAGCTCCATACTGTAAACATTGTCGTCATCGGGTGGGTGGAACCTGGAAACTCTTCGATGAGGTACTGATCGCCGCATTCTTGGAGGATCTGAAGGTCCCTCTGGCCAATTAGCCACAGCTTCCTGAGAGCCATCGTCTTGCAAAACCTCATGAGCTTGCTGCAAACTTCGTTGCACTCTATTTTCAGACATCACCGCTTCTGAGGTCCAGACAAACACAGCATCTTCCTGCAGATTCTGATTGGTGCTGTCTGGTGTAGCGTGTCTCCGTCCATCAGAGTCATTATTTGTTGATTGTTGTCGGTTTGCACTCTCAACTTGAGTAACTTGGCCCTGCCAATGGCTTCCTTGATCAGATATGTTGTCTTGATTTTCTCTTTGAACAGCTGCAAAGCCACCTGTAATCCCCATCCGATCGGGCAATTGGACCCCAGTGTCCTGATTCTCATGTTGCACCTCATGGGAAGCATTCGAATCGCTAGGATCATTTCTAGAATCGTCGCTGCCGCTGTTAGATGAGGTCTCAGAATGGCTGCTCACTTGACCACGAAAAATGTTTTCCAGTCTGGAGCGAAATCCTTCCCTAGATAACCATCCACATAGAATCGTATAAATATTTATTATACATCATACAAATTGTGTTCAACTCTTCTCAGAAATCTATCAGAAAAAACACAACAAGGCACGGAAACATCGGTGTAACGTTCTCTCATATACATATAATATTATCTAAAATCTACTACTTGCTCAATTCTTACCCCTATTAAAATCAAATCTATCCATTTTACACCTCACAATACAACAATTGCCCGTATCCTATCACACCATTTAGTCAATATGTACTATTTCCGTACTATATATATATATATATAAACCATCAAATCAAGTCAAATGTTCTTGACTGCGATTCAACTAGAAAAATGAAGAAATTAAAAATACAGAAACCAATGTATTTTACTAACAAAACACTCATGCCAAACAAACCAAAGCAATGTTAAACATTGATCCCAAGAATAATCAAGAAAAACGCAAATGAACAGTTTGATATTGTTGAAATAGTAAAGTATACACATAAAATACCTCCTATGCTTTAGCCATTCAATGATAAGATTAACTTGAACAAGCATCGACTTATCATCCTTACAGTTTGAAACAAGTAATCCTTAAAAATCAAGACTATGATAATCCCTACCAGTCACTTAAACAATCATTAATTAATAGGGAAAGGCAAAATTAACCTAAACAGGAAGAAATATAAAATAAAGGAAAAGAAAGGTATTTTCAACTGAAATATAGCTTCTATATGCACATACCTTAGACCAGAGACGGTGTGTCGCTGCCTTAGTTGGTTTAGCTCACTCGCTGCCATTGAAGGAGGTCTCTCTTCCTCAACGGGTCTCTCATTTCTTAAAAATCTCCCTCTAAGTAGTGACTGAAAAATCATAAGATATTATCAATGTCTAAATGAAATCAATGAAGAAAAAAAAAAGAAGAAGAAGAAGAACTAGTTCAAGGTATTAGCTTAACCTATTAAGCAAATATTATAAAGTGGGAGATTAAAATCTTCAATTACCAATAAATTTTTAGTGAAAAGAAAATTTTGAATCATTACCAAAGGCATTTAAAACAAATAAATACTTGGAAGCTATTACTTGAATAACTGTTTAAAACATCTGAGAATTTCAGATGAATATAAGTGTTGCAATACCGAAATATGATAATATCAAAATGATTATACAGTCAAGGCTCAACCAAGAAAATAACGATTCACAGATGGGTGCACCTGTCAGAAATTCATTTTGCCGTATTTATACGCAGGAAGCAACCAGTTTGTGATCAGGTGATGAACAGAATATCATAATTTTAGATAAAAACATGGTTTGACAAAAGCATACCTTCCTAACTCGATATTGTGAACACATCCTCACTGAAAAAATTACACCATTCAGAAGACAAAATTCGACTAGAGAGAAGTGGGGCTTTAAGTAACATACATTCTAAAATGCTGACTTTCCTGTTAATATTCCTAGAAGTCGAGAACTCTCAAAGTGATTCATATAGTCATAGATTAATTACAGTTAGAACATCAAAAATAAATAAATAAATAATAGAACAGGCTGAAAAATCAAACATTCGACAATATCAATATCTAATAACTAATGCAATGGATTAAGCAAAAAAAAAAAAAGATCACCTGAATACGATTGCGGTGAGCAAAATCAGAAACAGCGCGATGTTCCAGTAATCCCTGGAGTTCACGTTGCCTTTCCCTTTCAACCCTTACAAGCAAATCAAGCAGCGCTTGTCGTCCTCGCAACCTCAACATGTCCCTGCGTATATGCTCCGGCTGACCTTCATCGTGATCAGCAGCAGAACCTTCATGAGCAAGATCGACTTGGCCTGTAGGCTCATTATCCCGCCCTTCTCTGCGCCCACCACGAGGCCCTCTCTGCTGACTTGTCATTTGCATCCATTCCCTCACAATTCTTACCCTCTCACGCTCGGTTTCCCCAAGCCATTCAGCTCTCGGACTATCATTCCTCTGCATGACATTAGAGGAAGTATCGCTAATTCCACTTTCCATCCACCCACGAACAATCTGGCTTACCCTTTCCCTCTCAATTTCTCCAATATCAGGTGATTGATCGCGACTGGAGTTTCTGTGCTCTCGATTCTCATTCTGTGGTTCACCCCGATCATGGGACCAAGTAGCGTAATCGTTCTCATTCTCACTCTCACTAGCATCGCCAAGACTACGACTATTCTCACCCTCCCGGCCTTCCAACATGTTTGTCGATGCATTTGTATTAGAATCCACACTTATCTGCTGCCTCAATCTATCTCTCACTCTCTCCCGCGCACGATTCAGTGCGTGCTCGTCTTCCAATTCCCGCCACATCTGCAAAATAGACGACGCTCGGGTGCTCAGCCTCTCCACATTTCCCTGGCGTCTCGAAGTCGGGGATTGTGACTCCCTCAAGAACGACGAATCAAGCATCGACACCGTGTGCAAGCCTGCGAGTGCCATCAACTCTGCCTCGCGATTCCTCCTCTCAATCGTGGTGATCATCTCCTGCGCCTGACGCGCAGCCCACCCACTCAAAATCCTCGAGTGGCGTCTCCTGGCTGCGGAAGACTCCGCCAGATCATCTCCTCCGAGCTCCGACCTCCTCCTCCTCCGGACAAGCTGCTCCCCTTCACCCTCCTCGTCCTCAGTCATACTTGTTCGAGGTGAACTACACGAAGCAAATGACATATAATCTTCATAATGCTCCCTCATCAGTTCCTCTAGCTCCCTCTCGAATTCGGATCGAGTAGGGCTACTGGGACTCTCCGGTTTCTGCTGCAGCTGTTGCCTAACATCAGCCATCCTTCACTCCCTACTCCTCCAATGGCTACCACTCCCACCTCCAAATACAGTCACCGGAACAAGCAAACATCGAACTGAACCCACAGCCAGAAACTTGTAAACCCCATTTTCCACTACAAAAATAATCAATCACGCAAAAGTCCAATCCCCGCACTCACAAATCAAACCAAACCCTAACCCTGACAGGCAGAAATCGACACCAAATAATCCAGCACAAAAGCCCTCTATCAAACCCTCGAAATCACTGTACGGACACATAATATCGCCTGATTAAACAAAATTATCCGATAATTCCACTTCCGTCGGACGACAAAACAGGAAAGAAATTAAGATCACAGAAACATAATTACACAGGAGGGAAACGAGGATCGCACGGCAACATCATACGACCTATATAGGAAATCACATAATTCATCGGTTAAATCAAACGTACCCTGAAAGCTGAAGCTGTATCTTCTTCGATTGCAGGTAGGCAATACGAATCTACGAAACAAAATCCAATCCTTTTTTGTCGAAATTAGAGTGTGTGTGGTGTGGTGCGGGTGTTGTCTGAGAGCTATGAATACAGTGGGGACTGGGGAGGAGCGGAGAGGAGAAGAGGGGCCAGAAGGAAAGGGAAGAAGATGGAGTTTATAAGCAAAGGGAAAGAGGCAGCCATTGTTATAATCATTTTCTTTTGCCCGGAAAAAGCCATTGGTCAAAAGAAAATGAAAATCAATCAATATTGCAGCAGGGTACTTTTCAACCACCACAGCTACGCTCCTTGTGCCTATACGTGTATGATGTACGTATGTAACGTATGCGTATATTTATATTTATATTTATATTATCCTTATATATTAGTAATATTTTGGTGTATTTCTCTTAGGGTGTGTTTGTTTGGAGGTTTAGATTTTGAATTGGGATTTGAATAGTAAAAATTTTGAATTTGAATAGTTGTATGATGTGATATAAATAGGTGATGATGCGATGTTTTGAATGTAAAATTGATTTTTAGTATAATATAAAAAATGAAAAATATGTGTTTGATTTGATGTTTTTGGGGAAAAAATTTTGGATGAATAGTGGAATTTTATCCAAATCCATCAAACGAACACACCCTAATGAGTTTGAAAAATTTTGATTTGAATTTGTTATTAAAATAATATTTAATGAAATATTTTTGTAAAAAAAATTATATATTTCTTTTTAAATTTTGGTTTAAATTTATTATGAAAATAATACTTGATAAAATATTTTGTAAAAAAATTATATATTTTTTTTTTTCAAAAAACTCAGAGTTCAAATAGAAAAATTTAAAAAAAATTTACTTAAAAAAACAAACCCAAAATTATTATAGAATGTAAACATTAAGAGCTGGTTGTTCATCTAATAATTTTTTTTTTCGTGGTTTCTTATAAATATTAGTATAAAAAAAAATAATATATATTATACATTATATATTTATAAAAATAATATTTCCTCATTTCCAATACAACAGTCTTATTTATTATTTTTTGTTCGTCCCAAAACAATAGTCTTATTTTCATAAATAATCGTATCACCGTAAAACTACCTTTACTTTTTTATTTTTATTAAAACCACGAGTTTTTACACTAATACACTAACAACAAAAAAGTCTTTTATTCGTACTTTTTACCGCCTACCAATATAATATCAATATTCTTTAAATCTCTTGTCAAACTCAATTAAAATTATATTTATAGAACAGAATGAGCAAATAATTTAATAAAAAATATTACTTTTTATATTATCATATAATTTTTTATACCAAGCATTAAAAGTAAAGTCATTTGAAAACACAAGTGAACACACCCAACAAAACTTAGCGTGTATGTTTTGTTCGAAAATAAAATTAAAAAAAAAAATGTTTGCTCACGCCACTAGCAATCTGATTTTATTGTTGAGTTTGAATTTTAAATTAATAAAATTTAAAATAAAATACTATAATTTATTATAATAAAAATAGATATTAATATGAATATCTACTAATTTTTAGTGAAATATAAAAATATATATATTTAACTTGATATTTTTATAAAAAATATAAACTTATGTTATATATATATGCTCAATTTTCTTATTTGTATGTAATACTCCGTCGCAATGTTGTCATTTGATTTTTGCGGTAATTGACATTAAAAATATCATTATATTTTAATAATTTACTCTAAAAATGTCATTGTACTAGTATTATAAGAGACTAATAAATATATTCTTATTTTTTTTTTCAATTTGTACTACGTCTTGATATAATAATTAATATTCAAATATCAACATGCAAAAAGTCAATGGCAACCTTGCAGCGGGACGGAGGGAGTATAAGTATTTTTGTTTCCTTTTTAATAAAACAAATCATGTTTTTTTAATCTTCGTCTTTTAAAATTATATTCACTTTTTTCTCAAATTTTTTTAAATAAAAATTATACCACTTTTTATATATTATTTTAAATATATAATTAAATTTTAGTGAATAGAGTATACAAATTAAAAATTAAATATTTGATTTGATTTTTTTTTAGATAAAAAAAAATAATAATGATAAATAGTAAAAAACAAATCAAATCATCCAAACAAACACATGAACCAATGGATATAAGTGATAAAAATAAGGTATACAACCAAACTCGCGACTATCAAATCATGTTCACCGTGTTTTTGTCTTGTAACATATCAGTTCCGTAGCAAATACCATCCTTAATGTAAAAATTTGCACCTCAAAATTTTTGATTTTTTTTATTTATCAATACATGTCTCAAACAATAGGCGTATACAAAACTACATTTTGTCCCCGTAAGGGATAACCTAGTGGTGTGAGGTGGACTTATGACCGTGAGATCATGGGTTCAAACCTCCGACACCTCCAGGTCACCTGCTACACATAGTTCGTCGATTGTGACTTATCTTGTCGGGCCTAGTTTGCAATGTATCAGGTTCGGTCGGGGGTTTACCAAGTGCGCACTTTCGGGTAGCGGTTGCAATTTTTACTTTATCAAAAAAAAAAAAAAAAAAACTACATCTCAAACTAGCGGTGAACAAAATATTCGAAATCCGAAAATCCAATCCGAAATTTAGAATTTGATTCAAATTTTCGGATTGGTTCGAAATGAATATTTGACAAATTTTGAATTTTTGGATTGGATTGGTATACTTAAAATCCGAACCAATTCGAAAAATAACATTTTAATATATTTTATCATATATGTTTAATATTTTATTAAAAATATTATATTTTAATATAAATAAAAAATCAAAATTATTAATTATATTTTAATGTATTTAATTTTTATATATTATATATTCTTAATATTATAAAACAATAATAAAATATAAAATAAATTCTAAAATTTTAAAAATAAAAAATAAAATAAAATTTCGGATTTTTTTTGTTTGATTCGAATTTTTTAGTTCGGATTTCAAATTTCAATTATTTCGGTTCAATTTGGATTGATTTTTTGAAAATTCAGATTTTTAGATCGTTATCTGAATCAAAATTCCGAATGTTTACCCATATTTTAAACTACAACTAGGCAATCATATTAAATCCACTAAAACACCATTATCATATAGTGTAATACTACCTTGGTTCTATAAAACTAGCACCGTTTGTCTTTTTGTCATTTTCTCTTAATATATACCACGTACTGTTATAATAATTAATATTTAAATATCAATATACAAAAAGTTTATGAAACTTTTTTTTATAGAACGAAGATAGTATAATAAAATCTTGCCGTTCCAAACAAATTATTGAGAGTTTATAATAATCATACATTCTTCAATCCAAAATATGAAAAGTGTCCAAAAATAAAAAATAAAAGCCAACAAACTGATTGCGCACCAAAATCCCATCACAATAGCATATATCCCGACAAGGGCCATTTTGGATTTATTCAAGGCCTGAGTAAAAAATAAATAATATGCTCTATAAATAAATAATTTTTTTTTCAAAATACTATCAACGACAAAAATAATAATAAATTTCACAAAAATAAAAATTATACTAATCATATATACAATAAATAAATACATGAGACCTAATTTTTTATACATATCTTGACTATTATAAAATTTGACAATATTTTGACAATTATCAAACCAATAACTTAATAATAATAACTACAAATTCTAAAGGTAAGGAATATAGAATTAATTTTAGAACAAATATAGTTAAAGTTGATTAGAATTAGAATTGGATTGACTAATTGTAGAAAAAAAAGAGATAAAATTTAAATTAAATTTTAATATATCTAATAATAATGGTGATGACTCCAAATATGAGCATATTCTTAGCTTGACAAAAATGTGTATTACTCGAATTTCTGTATAAAAACCATCAAAATAATTTGTAAACGGCATACATTATTGATCTATATCACTTGGCATGATCCAGAGTTTGTTGTTGAGATTATTAACGATTTTTGCCCTCTTAAGCGATAGTCTGATACCGGAAAAGTTAAGGCAGACGCCGCAAGCGACAGCCGCCTCCGCTCACAGCGCCCAAGTCACCTTCTAAAAATACTAAGGCATGAGAGGCAAGTGATATCCTCTCCTGCTTGCAAGCGACGGCCTAGACACCCACCGCTGCAGATCAAGTCCAGATTTCAACTAAGTGTTCCAACTGCAGCGGTACAGCCATTCCATTTCCAGCCAGCACAAGCGAGCCTAGCTGCGCTGATGCCCTCCAACTCTCCAGCAAGCGAGGAAGATCTGTGCCCTTAACCTTCAATGCAAGCGAAGCGGGCACCCTGAGAGTTATGGCCAGCAACTACTTCAACAGAACAACTACCAGCAACCGCCTAACTGCCCAGCGGTTAGAACCGCCCAGCAACTGCTTGCAACCGTCTCTTTGCACCTGCTATAAATAGGGCCAGATATCTTTATGTAGAGAGATCGATTTTTGGTGATTTTTGCATACTGTTAGTATTCGTCGTCTTCCTGTTTCAAAGAGCTCCAACCCTGTAAGGGAGTTCTCCACAGGAATGGCCAAGGGAGTAGGGGTTTTTCCTCTCCCTTGGCCAAGTCTTTACTGTTTTTTTAGATTAGATTACTGCTTTCGTTTACAGCTTTGTAGTTCTAATCTTTCACGCTTTCGTAGTATATAAAGAAATATCATTCACTTCTTCAAACTAAATTCTTTCACACTTTTTCACACTTATATAAATCAAGTTTAGAGAATTTCATTTCACTGGTTTAGAGCGATAGAAGAATTGATTATCTGAGCCTTGTTATGCGCCAAAAGCGGTCTCAAGGTAGTTCAATGTAGTTAAGTATGCAGGAGTCTTGTCGACCTGCTTAACTACTGTGCAAAATTCGATTTTGATTAAATAGTAGTAACACAGGGGTAAAGCCACTAATGAGGCAGATATTGGGAAAATTAATGGGACATAGGCAGGGGGTCTATTAGGTCACAGAGATTTCTAGTAACAGTAGGGTTTCTTTCTTATAATGTCTCGATTCTTGGTGTCATTGAAGTCTTGTTGTAAATCCCCCCAGGTCAAAAATTTCAGTGTTATGAGTTATTTACAATTTAGTTTATATAATTACAACATCTTCCTCCAACTATTTCCGTAATATACATATACTCTTCCAATAACACACCTACATCATTCGCTCACTACATCCAGGAAAATCTATCCATTTAGTAACGCACAGATCAGACACAACATCTCTCCTCCACTCTATTTCGCTCATATATATATATATACA